CAGCCTTCCGTTCTATTTATCCGAAGAGCTGGAACGTATTCAGAAGCGCGCCTTGCGCATTATCTTTCCTTATGCAAGCTACAACAGCGCGCTCAAAGAGGCAGGCATCTCCTCTCTTTACGACAGGAGAGCATCTCTATCGTTTGATCTTTTTAATGACATTGTTCTTGACATTAATCACAAGCTCGCTGGTCTGCTCCCACCTAAAGCTGAGCACCACAGGCAGCTGCGCAGCAATAGGAAGTTTAACGTGCCAGTGTGCAAGACTGATCGTTTTAAAAAATCCTTTATTGTTAGCCATAGCCTAAGGATGTAAATATATATGTTTAAGTATGTATATTTTTTTAACACAAGATCATCCTAAGTGAAACTTTTTTATTAGATTTGTATATTTTTATTATTAAGATTTTCAAACCATTTTAACTATGAATTTTGTTTCTTGTATTGTATATTATACACGTAATTCAGTCTTCGGACTGCGAGGTGTTTCTTTTTAATAAATGATTTATCTTTATTTATTTATCTCTTTCCTCCCAAGTAGTACAAGAATAGTGTCCCGAAAAGTAACTACAGTAAGGCTCATTCCAGAGCAGATCTACCTCCTCCTGGACACAATATTAGACCTTCGGAAGAAAGAAGAAAACATCTCCGAAAGGGTGATATTGGAAAGTATTGAATCAGACATCAGTCAGCCACCACTAGAGGATGTAGATGAAGGTGAAGCATACACGAAAAAGAAGACTGATGCAATGAAGGCTGTCCGAAAGGTCTTGCGACACATTGTTGAGCAAAGATTGGAGACAAAAATGAAGAGGGTGACTGTGATGGACAACGCAGAGGAGGAGGATGTTTAAAAACCATGCAAGGGGTGAACATTTTTATCTTTCATCCATGTTAAAATCGTAGCAGCCATCACATAATAAATTTGTTTGTAATGAAATCTGTGTAGTCATTTATGTGCCGATGGAGTGTTCTAAAGAGCTTCCCGATTCGTACCCCAAAGAAGTATATTATCAGACCTATTTATGCCCTCACGAAATCTATAAATTCAATACACATACCTGTACCAAATCGGGTTGCTCCCGCATCTTGTTGCATGACATCTTAGGATTTGAGGCCACACCGACCTTAGAAATTTGCCATCGGCACATTTCCCTCGTCGCCAACTATAGAGATGTGTGGAAATTCCTGATACTCGTTCGGGAGATTTAAAAACAAGACATTGAAGTGAATGTGCTTTATTAAATACTATACAATGAGAAAGTAACATCTGAAAAATAGCAACAACATAAATGAACGCCTGAATCTGACATATTTACACATGGCGGATGGGGTGCAAATCCGTGACAAACATGATGCGTTACATAAAAATACAATTACACTGTACAAAAAAATTCAAAATGATTATATACAATAAAGACTTCTCTATCTAAAGGGATGTCTTGCAGAAAATACAATACAAAATAAAATAGTTGTCTGTATTGCCATGGTAGAAAAGTAAACAGTGGTGTCTAGAAAAAAGATTTATA